TAATCCCAATGGACTGCAAAGGCAGGATTAAACCTTTAGTTGCATTTTTTAGGTTCTGCATTAAAATAAATGTATTTACTTGAAAGGAAATGTCTTAAACTTAGTATAAAAATCTGTTCCTACTTGTGGAGATTGATTGCAGCAGAGAACATGCAGCAACATTGATTCTCCAGATGAACTTCGTTACCTGCTGAGCGTACTTGCTTTCTCTTACACGCCTCAATATGCCATTTACTGTGCAGTTTACGTTTTGCTATGCAAATTACATGTTGCTATTGAAAATTTGTCAGTTTGCCACTTTTTAAAAAAATTTTATTTATTTTTTCTAACGTCAGTTTACCCTCTTGCACCGTTTATGTATGACATTTTGTTATAAGGTCTGGTTAAGAACAATTTTGATGAGTTAGGCATGGCTGTAGAAGTATGTCAGTAGGAAAGCTATTTTCTTCCTTTTCCACAGAAAGCTCATCAGCTGGATATGCTTCTGTCAGTGTTCTTGAAATGGCCAAATATCCTTTGAAAACGCTAACTACAGATGGATGCTTTTTAAAAAAAAGAAAAAAAAGAAAAGAGGAGTAGGAAAATTAGCAAAGCCCTAAGGTTAATTCTAGTCCATTCTTAACAGGAACCACAAATATTTTCCTGGCTTTACCTATTTAAGTTTTCTTTCCTGAAATAATTACCTTCGTAATTGCGCACAAAATACACATTTTTGAACTAGCTATCTTTTCCAATGATATATTTTGAAGTAATACTCTATTTTAATTACCAAAGAATTTAAGCATTTCTTATTGAAAGGGGAGCAGTTTCTTCTTAATTAAAATGTGGTTTTGCTATTGATGATATTATGTATTACATGATGATTATCCCACTTTCCTAGTGCTCCCCCGAAGAATATTGTATGTGTGTACCACTAGTAACCTTTCAGCGCATGTGCACTTAGACCCCTTTTGTAACTGTTGTGGTAACAACAAAAAAATTACATAAACTTGCAAAAGAATTGCTTAATGGTACAGAGTATTCTGGTTTCTACCAAAACCCCAATTACTTAATTTTGTGCCCTTCCTGGCCTACATAAATTATGCAACCCTCACATCTCAACATCAGTGAATTATGTAGCTCTGCGCACACATCAATTAATTTTGGCCCCATCAACTTCCCACCTTCTGTGTGCTCCTAGCCTCAAATCAGTTTTGCATCTCCCAGCCGCGAGCGGTTAATTTTGTACTCCCGGCAGCTCATATCTGCCTGAACCTGCAGCCCCGCTTCAACTCTTCACCCTCCCCTACCTGCCTCTCCTCCTGCAGAGCCAAGCCACCGCCTTCTCCCGAGGAATTCCTCCTCCTCCAGCTCGGCAGCAAGGATCAATCCCAGGCGGCTTCACCGCCCGCCCCGCCAACGGGTCAGCGCCGGATCCCAACGCGCCCCGCAGGCAGCGGGGCTGGTCCGGAGATGACCTGGGTGCCCTTATCGCTCTCCTCGCGATTTTCTAAGCGCAGATTGCAAGACTGAGGCTCCGTCTTCTGGAATGGCCTGTGAAAGTCATGGCGCGCTTGGAGCAACCACCTCCAAAACCCTTCCTGTGGCGAAGCCTGTATCAGGAAACACCCCTCTGAGAGGAGAAATAGCTTCCAGGTCTGCAAGGAAAGCGGCGTTGAGAAAAAAGGTAGTGCCAGCAGCCATCAGACTCCGTACTGCTGCCAGCAGCGGAAGCAAGCATGACCTCAGCCTTGGTGTTAAAGCCGACACCACTGCTGCAGGTGTCCGCATCAGATGCCACAGTAGGCTTCTCTAAGCAACCCAGAAAGAGTTCGTTTTCCTCCAGAGGGCACTTCAGTGTGCAAAAACATCAAGAGGGAAACCTTGTTCCCTTATTGCCGACCTCTACGTGCAGCTCAGTTCTGAGTCCTGAATTATTTTGTCCAAAAGGGAAAATTATCTCCATGAGAAGTATGGAGAGAACAAAAGCCCTGAGAGGGCAACGTGACGTCCTGCAAATGAGAATGGCCTCAACTTGCCGTTGCTCTCCGATTGCCTGCAGACCGGAGAGCAGCAGTGCAGCTCCTCAGCCCATCTACGGCCTCTTACTGCGGCTTTGCCCTCCAATATCGCAGGACAGGTCAAGGCAGGCCCCTTCCTCACTCTCTCCCTCCGTTTTTAGTTCCTCGGGAGCACAGAGGGGAGGGGGCCAGTGGCTTGCCAAAGGGACAAGGGTGGTGACAGCAGAGTGCGGAGCCGTCGGGCTGTGCCCAGGGTCACCACATTTCCCGTCCAGCTGGACTGTCAGGAGGGCCCGTGGAGACCAGCTCTCAGTTCAATCCGCTTTTCTCTCAGCGGGCTGGAGGGAGTTTGACTCTTCTCTCAAGTGAGGTTTCAGAATTTTTTCTCTGCTCTCCTTTTTGTCTCTGTCTATTTAAGCAGCAAGCACTGCAGAGACTGACTTGTGCTTTTTTTGTACAGTTCCCAGCACATCTGGCTGTTTTGGATAAAGTCCCTAGGCTTGATTGTAGCAAAAAGTAATGATAGCGTGCTTCAAACTTGGGCCTCCAACTATGACTATATATAAAACGCAAAACATTTGGGACAAACTGGAGGAAATGCAATTTTTAGTAACTGAGAAAAAAATATATATATATTCACTGTTTTACCTCTGCAGTTGTGCTTTGCAAGCGTGGGTGCTCCGTCGTGCTAGAAGACTCCGTCTCAGAACTGAAAGCCGATGGAACTCAGGGGAGCGCTTGCTCCCAGATGATTGGCATCAAGCTTTTTTCCTGTCCCACTTGCAAAACAGCCATGGTCATTCATCAGTGTGAAGCTAAACTGGCTCTAGAAAACGTTCTAATTATCTAGGTGTCCTGATTAAACCTGCCTTGATTTAAAAGAGGCACGCCATTGTACTCATGTGAACATTTTGTGTTTTTTCTAAGTAATAGAATTAGCTATGGGCATTTCCGTAAGAGCATGCAGAACGCAATCGTGGTGTAATTCCTCTCCCTCCAAGCCTCGTCTTGAAACATGCAAATTTCTCTTTCAAGTGTGTTGGCAAAAAATGGCAGTATCCTGATAGACGCATGATTTAGACACCAAACTACATGCTGGGTGAGTTATCATCAGTGGGTTGAGTTATTTGGCGAATATATCAAGAGTGCTGTGGAAAGTACCACAGTCTGAAGAGGAAATATCAGTGGACGGCTTGCTTCTCGCTCTTGTTTGTAGGGATCCAGCACTGGCCACTGCCAGGGACAGGGTACCGGGCTGGATAGGGACCTTTAGTCTTCCTCGTACGGCCTTCCTTACGCAGCTCGACGCAACATGCTGCAGTGCCACGCACTTTCTGCTGAGCGTTTTCATGTTCTGTTTTAAAAATAACAAGACATCTCTTAACATTCAGGATACATTTTTCCACTCTGAAGCACCACAACAGTCTTTTTAAAGAAACTCTAGGAAGGGTGTTAACTTGATCAATGCCGTGCAGGAAGGAAAGCTCTTTCCTACTATTTTTTCAGCATGACTTTCACTGACATGATCAGGCTGGGAAAAGACTTATTGGCTGACAGCCCAGGACAGCCATGCAATATCTGTAGTCATCTGGAACTCAAACTACTCTGCCCAAGGGAGAACCATAACATAAAAACAATTTAGGTTACATGCTGAATCTTATAAACACTGTTCAGTTTTTAGAAAATAGTTTAAATACTCTTTATCTGCATTTGCTATGCACAGTTTGTTGTTGTTTTCAAATGTCAAGAAGGCTGGGAGGGTTTTTACTTTTTTACTTCAGATGGTTTTCAAGAATCTTGGAGATTTTTAGAAGTATAGGGAAATGAGCTTCCTCTCTTCTCATGAATTTAAGAGCTTGGCTTCTCCTGTGTATCGGATATAATTGTTTTATATATAGATAGTGTTTACTTTTTGACCCCGTCCGGAAAGCATAGAGTCACAGAAGCTCTGTGACTGGAGGCGGCTGGTTGGAGGGGGCTTCCAAAGGCCCTGTTGTCCCCCTCCCACACAACGCAGGACTCACGAGCACCGGTTTGGTGAGGGCTTGCCTTCGTCTGGCCGAGCCACAAAACCCCCAAGGACAGAGTTTTGGCAGCCTCACCGATGACCTGCCCCAAGGCTGTGCTTCTCTTAGAGATTTTTTTCCTCCCGTCCGGTCTGAACCCTCCGTGCTGCCCTTTGTGGCCATTGTCCCCTCTTACGTTGTCTGTCGCTGCTGCCCAGAGTTTGCTCTGTCACCTCCCCAGTGTACACGTAATCTGAGTAAACCAAAGCGCAAGGGCCAATATGTGCGTATGAAACCGCAAAGTTGGGGCCTTAGCTTGTATCTGTATTCCTCTGTTGAATTTTCAGTTGTCTTGTGGCACAAGAGAAACGTAGGGATTCTCCAACAGTTCAAAGCTGATGCTGAAATGTATTAACTATAGTGCTTTTGCAAGTCTATGGTTTTTTCCTCTCCCTTTTTGAAGCTAAGCATCACTGGCCTCTGTCTGTTGTTACCTTGTTTTGCATAAAAAACCCTGTCAGAGTAATCTGCTCTTCTGCAAGCATGTGCAGCTCTAGTAATCTGGGATAAAGCAACATGAATCCAGAATATAAGCTTCACTTCAAAGTGAATTGTCTTGACTGAAGATCTGAACTTGGGATGTGTCCGTTGCCACCTGTCCCTCTGCCAAGTCCTAACATTCCAGCACACCTTGCAACAGGCCTAAAATTATTATTTTAGGAAAATTGCTATGGTTCCTTTATGATTCCTTTTTTCCATAAACTGGTATTTCTCAAGCTGAGTAGCTTTACTAGTCTTTTCAGCGACGGATCCATGCTAGCATAGGAGAATAAGCCCTCTTGCCCATAGCTCGATCGTTCCTGTGCAGCCTCTTGCTTTTGCTGAAATTGTTGGTTATTTGGCGGCATTGTTGTTTTTAATTGAGCTGTGGTTTTTACTTTCTGGATGTGACGTGCCGTGTGCTATAACTTTTCCTGTGATGCTTTCATTGCAGGCCTTGTTGAGACCAGGACGAATAGACAGAATCATTTATGTGCCATTGCCAGATGCAGCCACCCGTGGGGAGATCTTCAAACTTCGTTTTCAGTCCATGCCAGTCAGTGATGAAGTCTGCTTAGCGGAGCTTGTTCAGCGCACACAGAAGTACTCAGGAGCAGAGGTAAAACTTTCTGAACGGTAATGGCCACGGAGTCGGTGCACAAAACTGTGTTTTTAAAATTGAGATCAGGTATCTTCCAGATATCATCCCTTGAGTCTTCTCAAAGTGGCAGGGGGCAATTATGAAAGGGAATGTTTGAGAGATTTATGTGTTTCTGCTCAGAAAACTGAATACGATCTGGGGCTTTTTTCCTTCAAGGTCTCCATCAGATGACTGTTGCCAGGGGAAGGACCTCTTCCAGGGTGAGCCTTAGTAGGATCACGGGTGGCCTCATTAAGGATGTGCTGCCAGGAGGAGTGGAGGGAGGTGGGAGCAAGTGCCCCCAGACTTTTGCATTTAGGATTGTGACTGAGAGCCGCAGATGGAGGGAGGAGAAGACAGTTATGAGACAGCGTAGGGGAACTGCAAGGGAGTCACTGGTCACTTTGAAGCTCGTATTTTCCTATTCTATATAATCAGGACCTCACAGCAGCACTTATTGTTATAGCTCATTGCTGTTAGTTACTCAGCTTCTGACAATGGACGTCAGACAATTATTTCCTGTCTTGGGGAGGAGGAGAAACTTTCTCAGATGCTGCTGCCTGGCAGTTACAATAAGCATTGGTATGTTAGTGGTCACCACTCTGTTCCCTGAATATTATTCATGT